CAAAAACCCTAGCAAAAACCGGTCCCGCCACAGAGGGCCTCCCCAGTAAAATCTGAGGGCAAAGATTAATGAGGTTAGGCCAGCTTCTAGGAAGCAGCACTCCGGCAAGACCCGCGTCACACTGCTAGCGTTGTGCTCCAAAAGCCCGAAGTCAAGTTGTCGCAGTGCTGTACATTTATGAAAGGCGCGGGGCCTTAGCTCTGCCTGTGGAGCGAGTTGATTTGTAGTATCGTTCCTGAGTCCGACTTGCAGCAGGGAGCAGCATTCGGCAAAGACCTGTGTTCCAAATTCTTTACAACCTGGGGCAAGGACCCTGCGCTGTGCGTAGCAGCGGTAGAAGGCTCGCGTCTGCAGACTGATTGCTGTGCTGGCTAGATGCACTATTTGGAGGTGTTGACAATGGTGCCATGAACACTCCCCTATGATACGATAGCCGGCATCCACCTGTATATGTCGGACCTTTGCCACATACGAAAAAGCCTGCGGGAAAACTCTATCAATGTAGTAGAACGGGACTCGCAGGGCTTTGGCTTCGCCTTGCATTTGTCCCTTATGTTCAGCTACGACTAGACAAGGGCTCACAACGACAGTAAAGCAATTACAGTCTCGCAGGGTGTGCCAGATCGGGTCGACCAGCTTCTGTTGCGAGTTGCAGCAGAGAAAGTCCAACTCGCACCCGAAGGTGCTGCTGTCACCTATTTCGGGAAGTTGTTCCAGAACTGCACTTTCAAATTCCTGGAGACGATCGTATTCTTGAAGTTCAATAGTCAGTTGGGCTTCCTCTCCCGACAATGTGGTCAAGATCAAATGTATAACCATTGACCTTTCTTCGCTCCATTGCGAGCTAGACACTGAAATGTGATCAGCGAGCATGGCCGAAAGTCAACTGACCCGCACTGTGTCCCCGTTTGAGCCTAAAGGGTCTGCAGCAGGCTGCAGTGGTTCCTTGACTGCTGCTGCTAGTGGCTGTTCCTATTTACCAGCTTGGGGAGAGACAACTGCACGGGCAGCCATCTGGATGTTTTCTCCTAGTTTTGCCGTGCTAAGTCTTCTTCGTGAGACTCCCAAATTGCGTGTTGTTGGGTGTGCTGTCTACCCCGTACCGATAGATAGCAGATTCCTTCGGGGACAACTAGTGCCTGACACCCTTCGAAGGCGTTGGCTGCTACCTGTAGGCGGCATCTATCGGCCTCTGCGCCTCGGTAGGTGAGGCAGACTAGTTTGCTGCACCCGGCAAAGGCTCTGTGTCCAACGCTGAGAAGCTGCCGTGGAAGCGCTACTGTGCATAGCAAGACACAGGCTTCAAACGCTTCAGCACGAATTTCGGTAAGGTGCCTTGGCAAGATTGCCTGTGTCAAGGCTCGGCAATGAGAGAATACTTGCATACTTAAAATGCTCACCTGTGTATGTGACAAGTCGATCACAGTCAATTGCTGACATTGTGCAAAGGCCTTGTGCCCAATAAACTCGGTTGAGCGTATAATGTCTATTCTTTGGATGCCGGCCAAATAAAAACACACCGTTGGCAGACCTTTTGGGGGGGACGTTGCAGACAGCGCATCAATGATGGCTTTGGTCCCTGGGAGACCTATTTGCTTAAGCTTACCGCATCCTTCAAACGCATAGGGGGAAATGGTAGCACCCCTGGCTAGTCGGCAGGAGCTTCCTGTGAGTACCCCTACCCGTTCGAGGGCACAACACTCTGCAAAGAGCCTGGCTCCTAGGGATAAGCGCCCTGGCATCGCAACTGTGGTGAGCGCATAACATCCTTGGAATGCCGCATTCGCTATTGTGACTACAGTGCTCGGCAGTTTAACAATGATAAGGGTGTGACAATAGCGCCACACTTGTCGCTCTATAGTGTGATAGCCAACCTCGACTTGTACGTGCCGAAGTCTGGCAAGGGCAAAGAAAACCTTAGCAGGGAGAATGCCTGATTCATTGGCAGGGACCCAAATGGCTTTGGGGTGGTCTTCATATTCGTCTCTGCGTATTTGCTCTTTGGAGAGCACCTGCCTGAAACTTTTATGGATGACCAGTTGATAACCCTTGTTTTCCCAGAGCTCCTCGTGGATGGGGTCACAGAGTGGGCTCAGGGTGTCTTCTGATATGAGCATTAGCTCACAACCAAAGGTGTCAAGGTCAAAACTTCTGGCTAGCAGCTCTACTAAATAGTCTTCTAGCATTTCCCAATGATGGTAAATGCTAATAGGCACAATAGTTTCGATTTCTTTTCCTGCTAAAGTGTATAGCCTCAATGGGCAGTGACTGACTCCTGCAGTATCTTCTGTGTCAGATTCTCTACTGTCCATGAGGCAGTAGGCAGCCGCACGGCGAGTTGTGTGGGAATTAGTCACTGGTTTGAGCCAGTGGCAGCAGTTGTAGCCTGCCTATCCACGCACTGCGAGCCAGATCTGGCTGTTGTGACGACAAACGACGACAGACGACGAGAGACGACGACACGACGCAAGCCACGCAAACACCCAGGTCTGTCACTCCTGGTGTCCGCCCTTTTCCGCTGGCCATGTAGCATTTCTATTCACTCCCCAAACAGTTCACTGTTAGGGGTTCTCAATGCTTCACAGAATGGTCGTTCTTTTCATTTGTCTCCCAGGTTCTTGCGGAAGGGGCAATAGCGCTGTCAGTGACGCTTAGCGGAGGTGCGCTGTTTGCCAGTTGAAAACCACTCCAATTCCCGTTTTTGCCCGCATACCCTGACTGCCACTCGTTGCAGTGGCCAAGGTGGTCAAGCCTTGACGACAGAACGAAGCCACATTTGATTGGTTTCGCAGGCTCTCCGCTTTGGTTTTGTTGCTTTGTTTGTTCTGGTTTGCCTTTTGGGGGTTTCTTGTGTTCTTTTCCTCATCATCATGTTGTGTTTCCGGCTGGCTTGTCTCCCACTTCCTTTCATTTGTCTCCCACTTTTCACTTGTCTTCCAGTTCTTTTCATTTGTTTCCCACGCTTGTGGTCGGGCTTTCCATTCGCCTTGGTGCTGGATGGTCTGGTCGGGTTCCCGGCCGGCTTGTCTTCCACTTCCTTTCATTTGTCTCCTGGTCTTCCCAGCTCTGGACTGCTGTGTCCGCCTCTTTGCGATCCTTTACATCTGTCTTCCAGCTCTGGGCTGCTGTGTCCGCCTCTGCCTTGCAATCTCAAGCAGAGTCACCATTTCGGCCTCACCATCGACGATTCAGTGAGCCTACAGGAATGAGAGCCTTAGCTTCTCGTTCCCAAAAGGCGGGTGGTAGAGAATGGTCCTGGAAGGCGGCTAGGGGGAACCTTAGTTCTCTGCGGCGGCCATGCCATGACCATTACTGTACAAAGAGGCACAAGTACCATGCTAGGATAGGTCCATGGTTTCACCTGTTTCACACGGGCCTTGCACGTACCAGAAGAATGCGTGCACGGTAGCACCTCTCTTTCTTTCAGGAACAGAGTGTGCCGCTTTGGCACTTCTTGAATGCCAAGGGGTGCAAAGGAGACCTCCCTTCGGGGAGGAAGGCAGCATCCTAGTCAGCAAGCTCTCCTCGTTTGCCTCTGCCACTACTGCCTGACCATTGATATGCCTCTCGCTTCGTTCGTGCAATCAGTTGAAAGGGTTGTGCAACGAGAAGGGACTTTTCCACGGCATGCTAGGCAGGGCAACAACTGATCTCCCTGGGCAAGAATCAGACCTGCTGACAAACAATGCAGCTCCTGCAAAGCACCCATTTGTCACTTTCGCCACTCGATGCAGTGGCCTTTTGGTCACAGTTTTGTGGGTGGGGCGAAGTCCCTTTGATTGGCTTCGTTGCACTCCGCTTGTGCGCTGACCCTTCCGACCGACTTTCGTAGTGAATTCAGGCCCATGGTTAGTTCACAGCCCACTTTTCTCACCTGTCTCACCTTCGTACAAAGGAAACACTTTTAGATGAGGGGGAGTCGGCCTCTGGCCTTTTGGTTGTGTTTGGGGGGGTTCTTGTTTGGTTGGTTTTTGTTTGCCTTTTGGGGCTTGCTTGTGTTCTTCTCCCCCTTATCATGTTGTGTTTCCTTTCCCTTCAATGATGACCTGGGCACTCCGCCCACACGGCGTCAAAAAAAAATTCCGCCTCTGCCTTGCAATCCTCAATTTTACATGTGTCTCCCAGCTCTGACTTCAAGTTTTGCAGAGTGTTCCGAAAACACAAACTGTTTGGGGTCTACGGTGGTGTAATTTGGCATCTCGTGAAAATGTGCTTGGTTGGGTGGGAGGGTCACTGTCATGATTGAATTGTTATTTTGTGAAGGTTTTGAGTTTTTGTTCAAGTTTTGTGGATCCCTTGTTCTACAAGCAACTGGCGTGTGGTCAGTTTGTTCGGAGAATCAGACGGAGACCCCCAGACATGGAGTTTGGGGGGCCTGGTTGGTGTGAACAACAAGAGATTGTCAGCACAATCTGCCCATTTCTAAACCAGATGGTTAAGAGGTGAATATGTTTTGGAGATGTGGACATTTGCCCTCAAGGTTTGTCATAGAGGAAAACTTTCTGAAAAACAACTTGCACGGTTGCTTCATTGCTGGCATGAGACACTGCCATGGTTGGTGTGCCTATATTGCACATTTTGGCTCCAGCTAATTGAGGTATTTTTTCGCTGCACTGTGACTTCCAAGTAGCTTGGCTGCCGAACTGGAGCTTCGTGGCAGGTATTATAGATTGTCAATCTATGACATCATAGTGTGCATTTCTTGAGATAATGGGATGTTCCATGTTGTTTCAATTTCTTTGGGATGCATGAGGTGCTTCAGTGTTGGGTTCGCTCAATGCAGAGCACCACACTGTGGTGAGGCAGTTTCTGCCCAAAAACCTTCGTGTTTCAAATGTACCACAAGATGGGAAACCAGTGCGTTCGTCCAGCCCAATTCTCTCCCCCAACTGACATTGACGCGCGTCAAAACTTTGTCTCCCGTGTGCCAGGTGTGACCTACTCACATGTGACTTGTTGTAGGGGTCGAAAAGAGTGGGGAATTCCTAGGCCATGCCAAGCATTGAGGAGCTGAAGAAGTTCATTAAGACCCATGAGGCCAAAGTAGACAGAAGAAGTACATCGGCCTCAAAGCGCGGTCCATGAGACATGGAACTCCAAAAACACATGTTGAGTGTTGTTTTGCTTGCGTGAAGGAAAAGACATGCTGGGGTAAAGGTCGATGTGCTATGTTGTCACAGGTCAAGATTGATGATGCAGAGCAAGAGGTGGCCAACGAACCCAACAAAAAGAAAAAGAAGGCGGGAATAAAGGTGGAAGGCCAGTTCTAGGGATTGTGAGCAAAGGCAAAAGGTGGCCAATGTGCTCGAAGCTTTGCCTTTCCTTTGGGTGGCTGAAGGCATCCTTGAATCTGAAAGACTTCCGTGCACATTAATTTTGCAAACGGACCATGCCCAATGTTTTTTGGCTGCTTCCAGCGCCTGATGCGAGGACTTGGAAAATGCCTTGAAGAAGCTCCAGAACGATGAGAAGTATGTCAAGGTGAGTGATGATTTTCCTCCTTCACACCCCGATAGGCCGATCGATGGCCAGACTGTCGATGGAAGTGAAAAATCGATGGACGGTCCAGAGAGCTTCGGGTCTCCACGTCTCGTGAGAAGGCCGGGCTGCAGGGTCGACTGCCGTTTGAGGCCAAAGAAGAAGTAAAGGCTGCAGAAGCTCAGGTGGGCTCGTTTCATGGCCATTCTGACGAATTCAACGAAGGCCGTGGATTACAAGTGCCTGCGACAAGTGGTGTTTCTTCAGCACTTGGCATGGACCAGAATGAAAGGGCTACCGAAGCAACCACCAAACACTTCATCCCCTTGGTTCAAGCAAAGCCAGGCTCAGAAAGAGGCTGAACGTGCAGCACTGAGCCCTGGTTGCAAGGTTGAGAAGTGCGTCACGTCATCAGCCATTTGTATTGATCCCCAAATTATATAAAGTCAATAGCAGGAAGAAGTATTTTTCGGCTTGACTCATGCATTGGAAGGGCGTTTCTGCTTTTGTGGAGACCATTGTCCAGACACAAGCATAGGAAGAATGAATGGCTAGAGTATGATCTCCGAAGGATCTCGGAAAGGCAGGCAGATATTCTTTGTGACTCATTTTTTTCTTTTTCGACAGGTCAGTGACTGCAGGTCGCTAAAGCAGTTCCCACCAAAGCACTCCTTGGACAGATGTTTCGCAGTCGATCCACTTGGACACCTTTGACCTCATCGGTTGGGACGGACGTTGGGGTAACTTCGGCTGAGACTTCTTTCGCATGATTCGGATGACCAACAAATTCACCAAGCACATCTCTTTTCGCACTCTTCAATGCCACTGAGGAGTGGCAAGGCCGCAGACAAGAAGGCTGTTCGCCGGAGGGATCAAGAGGGATCAAGAGTTGTCCACCTAGGCAAATTCCTGAAGGTTTGGAGCCCGACAATCTCTCGACCAGGTCCTCCAACATCCACCTGGAGTACCAGGTCATTTTCAAATGACCTCGAACTCCACCCTGCATGTGCCGGAGGCTCTAGGTCCAACAGACCATTATTCCTTCCAAGTTTGACACATAGATGCTCTGCTGGTAGACTCGGCTCACTAACTGCGAGAAGCGACTACATAAGTGCCCAAGATGTTTCCTGACCTGGACCCATAGCCAGATTGGATTTTTTGACGTTTTTGAGTTTGATCAGCCAGACTTGATGTCATGGACTTTGAAGGCTTGATGTCCATTCCTGGAGACTTCTGTGCAGAAACAACATGTCATAAAGACGTTCGAACATCTCTGCCCTTGTTCGACCTCAGTCGAAACGGCCGCTGTTCTCCTCTCAGTCTCACGGTGTTTCTCCCAGGCCGATGCGAAAGGCAAAAAGAAAGAGGAGACCAAAGCTGCTCCAAAGGCTGATGCCAAAGTGGATGAGGCTCAACCACGGAAGGAAGAGACTTGGGGAACACAGCTCTTCCGCCAGAACGTTCGATGGAAGCCGCGCTTCGATTTGCAGAACGTCTGGACCTCCGGATGTTCTGCAAGAAACGTCCTGGCTGCAAAGCTTGCGGTGTTGATGTGCCTGAGTGTGGTTTCCGCTTGTGAACTTCGCATTGCTATTGTTCACTGCAGAGTTTTCTCACTGTCCAAGTCTCATTTTCTTCGCTCTCGAACCTGGGGACAGTCGAGCTCGACTTCCTCATCAGGCCACTTTCAAAGAAATCGATGAAGCCTTCGCGGCTTCGGGCAAGGATGCCGCGGATCGCAAGGCGCGGATCACTCCGCGCGGCTTCAAGGGGCAGAATCGATCGCGCGAAAGCGAGAAGGAGATCGACCTCCCTTGGATCGATGGGAGAAGGGAGATGGGATCGACCCTTGATGATAGTTCAACCCCCCCCATATGAGGAGGTCTTTACAATCTAAAGGGGAGGTTAATCAAGAGTCTACATTTTTCAAGGGGGTGGCGCAGTTCGTCAATCTCTTTTGTCTGTTCCGTGCCTGGCAAGGCCACCGCAGTGAGTACTTTGGAGATGCTGGCAGCGGCCACACCCTTCGTCTTGCCCAGGCCGTGCAGCTCGACCATGGCTAAGATGGGACAAGTGGCCCCTCCCTTGGCAGCACCGTGTAGGCTTTTGTCTCAAACTTCAGGAACTTCCAAAAGAAACCAATGACCGTAGGCCCAATGACTGCAGGGGTCCCACGGTTTTGAGTGGATCTCATCTAAGATTCACGATGCAAATTGGACGCAAGTGAGCTCACGTGGATGAAGGGAAGTGCAGTTCTTGTGACAACATGTGGGAACTACCTTTGAAGTATTCATCATGTGGATTGGTTGCTTCACGATTTCTCAGTGTGCTTTTCTGTCGTTGGCAGTACATTGGCAACATGTTCAACGATCCACCCGATCACTACCTGCTTGGGTGTGCAGCCTTCGTCGGCTCATCGAACCTCCATGCTTGTCCCTTCATGAGCAGCGCCTTCCTGAACGCGGTGACCGGAACGTCCACTAAACGCTCACCGGAACGACCACCCAGTCACTACCCAGTCTTCACGGGGGTCCCTTCGCTAAGCTGCATTCTATTGCCAAGCCTCCCGGATTGCTTTTGGAGCCGTTCCAGGTTGCCACAACTGATCCCATTATTCGACAACAGCAAACTGGCGGCTCCTGCCCTCAAGGCTGGATCATGTAGAAGTTGCCCTCATAAAACTTTTGCTTTCAATTATCAATGCAGCTTGCTTTTGCGAGAGAATGTCCTGTACTCTTGACATGAACACAGGTCCAATTTTTGCTCCAATTTCCTTTTTCAAAATCTTGAGCCTTGAGCACCCTTCAGTTCATGAAGTCGAGAGAATGCAGGAGCATGTTCCATTTTTGGACAATTTGGAAGCTCACATGTCGAACATCTAGGCTCTTGGCCCTCCAAAGTGGCCAGTGCCTGCGATTCCTCCAGACCTTCCCCTCCCACCCCGCCTTTCGCGTCTGGAGGCCGCGACGGCGATCGTGGAGCAGATCGCTCCCGCGGGCCATTCGGTGGCGGCGGGGGCGCCGAGACGGAAGTGACGGAAGTGACGGTGGAGCGGAGGTTGGGTGTTTTGGGTCCGGTCTCGTTGTACCCGGATCTCCTTTGAATGGGAAGGTCCTGCTGTTTTGCAGAAAGAAGGGACAGACATGTTCAGTTGGTGGAGATTTGGTGCAAGGCTTGATCAGTTTGATTCCGTTTTGTTCATGATAGAAGGGGGATGCAGCCATGTCCAGTCAATGAGAATTCCCCCGGGCAAGACAACAAGACATAGACAGCAAATGCATTGGTCACCAGGTTTGCAGCTGTCAGGTATCCAAGCAGCCATCCCATTGGCCATGATATGTATATGAATAAGTCTTACGAGTTGTACGCTTTGGCTGTCCTGTCTGAATCCTTCCCCAAAAAATGTGAAGGTTCTCAGTGTGATGAAGATTGTTGTGGTGCGGGAGAACAGGAAGTCCATTCAACCTGTGGCATCACCTATCCCTATGCTGATAGTGA